AAGGTTCTGTAACATATAAACGACTGTGTAACAAAGACAGTGAAACTGCCTTTGTTAGCATATGAAGCTACGCATTAATGTGCGTTAGACGCAGAGTAAAAGCCATTCTCCTATATCTTTAGGTAACAGTTACCTTACCTTCTTAAACCATGAGCAAAGCATTGTCAAACATGAGTAAAAACAAACCCCCAAAAACCAGCTAGACATGAAAGAAAAGTAGAGGAGATAAAGTGGGGGAGAAGTACATGAACACTCTCCTCAGGCCATGACCTAACAATAGTAAATAGATTGTGTATGCATCAATGCCTCTGTAGATTTCATCAACGCTTAAGTTATAAGCGGTCAAATGACATCAAACATGACAAAGTAATATGAAAGAATATCACGAGCAGATGAATTGTGTAGGGTGAAAGGCACATGGTTACTGTAAGAGCAAATGGCAGAGATGTGTATTGAAGCTGTGATGAACTCTGCCACGCCAGGAGGACCCATCCCGTGCTTGGAATGTCTCAGTAGTCCTTCATAAGCAAAAAAGGAACAGTACATAAAATTCTCAGCTTACAATTATTTTGCCTGACATGTTTATCGTTCCAAAATATTTTGAATATTTCTGTAAACAAAATAAATTGTTCAATGCAAAAAAGTTCTTGTTTTTTTTACCTAAACAATTTAAAATAACTTATTTTAGTGCAGTAACCACAATACCTTGATGCTGGGAAACTGTGATATTTTTATCGAAGGTTATCATACAGTCGGAACTCTATATGAAGTATATGAAGCATGGGTCGGTAAAAGATACTATGGAAGTCAATGATGACAGGGTTACAGTTTAGGTTTTCAGGTTCACTAATTTCAAAATATTTCCGTTCAACAGAACAAAATAAATTAAACAGTTCTGAAACTAATGAAGGGAGTGTAAATGATGGCAAAATGTTCATTTTTTTTGGCTGAAGTATCCCTTTAGATGCAGACATAACCATGAACTAATCCACCCGTGGTATTCTTTGATGCCCACCAGGCACAAGAATCAAAACAAACTACCATGGCAAAAGAACTGTTAAGCATCATCACACTCCCGTGAACAACTCAACAAGACAGGGCAAAAGACAGGGCAGTCAGTCTCACTTATTTACTGGTAACACAATCAACATCCTTATACAAGTAATTTTATACTCTATTGTTTTTCAATTGATTATATGATTTACACTACTTTTTGGGATTAGAGTACCCATGTTAAAAAGAACTTGTAGCTGAATCATTTATGAAACAGTTCCTTTATTAATCAGAAGTCGCCACAGCAGAATGAACCGCCAACTTATCCAGCATATGATTTAGGCTGGATTTATACTTTCGCCTGCCGCCGCATTAAGCAGCTAAGCTGACTGCGCGTGCACCTCGCGAAACAAATGAGGCTTTTATACTCGCCACAATCATTAATGTGATATTTTTTCTAACGACAGGGGGTGATCAAAAGAAACTGACCCTTAAATCAGACAAATAAACAGAAGTAGAAAGTTTCCGGAACTATGTTATATCATTAATATCATTCAGTATTTTAAGTTAATTATTTTTACTGTTTTTAGAAAATTATTTGAATGATTATAAGGATTTTTATAACCATTTAAGACTTTTTAAAATCAAACTTTGACGCATCGCTTGCTTTTGTTCATATCTCGGACAGTTTTACCTATTAAAGTTTATTAAAATATTAATGACAACAGAATATGGGTTGCTCTACAAATATATTTTTTATTATGGCAAAAATAAAAGCAAAATAAAAGAGTACACTTACTTAAAAATACGAATGTTTTTTTTTTTTGTTTTTTGTTTTTTTAAGATTTAGCACGCTCCACAATTCAAACATTACTGTCTGGCTAGTTTCTGTCCGCTATTATGCTAAAAAGGCAACAATGGCCCAACATTCCTGACCATCATCACCAATAAAGCCTAAAGAGAAACAGGCCATCAGTAAATTGTAAAACGGTAGGTTCAAAAAATCCTTTCCAGTTATCAAAGAAATAATCTATTCCTTAATTATAGTTTTGGAACTATTAAACTGTTCTAAATTTACAATTGTGTATATACAATATCAGTGTAAAAATCTATGACTGGTGGAAAAAATATTTCTGTAATTGTTTACCTGGCTCATTTTTGCCCTGGCCTCTTTGTTTGTTTGTTTTTTAACTTATCCCTCTGGTTTTTCCAAAACTTTTAACAAAAATGTTCTCCTTTTCCATGGCTGTTGCTATTTCTAGCCAAGAATTATTGATCATCTGGTTATCTCTAAGATCAGAGATCATAGAGATTTTGTTTCAGACAAAATCTCTTCAAAGTGTTTCATATTCAACTTAAATCAAACGAGGCGCCACGTGCACTGTTCGCTCGAGTCTCAAAAAATGCTGTGCGGTGTGCGCACCACCAGCTGAAATCATGTCGTGTGCACCCAAAGCGAACATCCGCAAACTCCACGATGACGTCACATTCGCCATGTACAGTCAGGTGAACAAGCAGACGCGTCGAGTATAAACCAGGCTTTACGCAGCGGATGCCCTTCTAGCTGCAACCCAACACTGGTAAACAGCCATACACTCTTGCATTCACACACAAACACTACGGAAACACCACACTCCACACAGAAACATCAACTGACCCAGCCAGGGCTTAAACCAGGAACCTTCTTGCTGTGAGGCGATTGTGCAAACGTGAGGCAAAACTTTTATTTAAAATTACCAAAACTAATGACACAACGTATGGCTGAGAAAGTAGTGCTATAGAGTAAAATCAAAGTGGAGCAATTCGACTTGGGAGGAGGAATCTGTCCCTTTACTTGACTAATAAGTACGCATAGATACATCCATTAGATGTCGCCTACCCTGCTGTTGTCTATTAGAAGGAATGTGTCTTCAGAGCTGTCATTTTGGTACAGGGGAGCGCTTCTTTGACATAAATGTGAGATCAAAGTGCAGTGGAGGACTGTGGCCATCCAAAGCCAGAGATATACACATAAATACATATTTCTATGATTGGGAGTTTTCCTGGTTGTCAGTATGCAAATATTTCTTTTAAATTACGAAAATTATAATTTAACATCACTTTTCTACATTGATGGATGTGACAGCACGGGCATTGCCGCTAAAGTGTGTGTGTGTATGGAAATATACTATCCTTCCTCCCTGTTTAATTTGATCTAATCCAAGTCAAGCGATTCATATGAATCCCCGTTATGAATGACTTGTTTGCTTTGTTGACAAAAATACAAGTTTCTGGCAGTGCAGCATCTTGTTGTCATATTTCATAACATTGTTTGCTAATTTTATTCAACAAAACTAGCATAAGCCTGGTATTTAGTGCGAGTTGGTGCTCCTTTGTCTTATGGTGAATGCAGTCAGAGACTGTACAATCATCAATAATGTTACTTGTTAAGCACAAAAGTTTGAAACATAAAAAAACTAAATCTTACGTATGAAATATGATACCTTTGTGCATTGCTTTCTTTGTTTGCTTGTCACTACATCCCTACACAATGCTAAAGTCCAGCATCTTCACATTGGCACACTGTCTTGACCAGTACGATTGAATGACATTTGTCCTGGAAGCACTGTACAATTGTGGAAGTGACGCATGATTAGGGGCCGTATGCGACATCTAGTGTATATATCTAAGATAAATACTGATTGTAGGGTTGGACTGAAAAACGATCGAATCGCAATAAATGTATGTCAATAACAATGATAAGCTCTAGACTGTTTCTCTATATTGACCTAAGAGCCAATCACACAGCAGAAATCTGAAATAATGAGAATCAAAAAGCGCGTTGATATGAGAGACGTACCAAATTTTCGGCCACCAAATGTTTATTATCCTGAAAATGTTATGCCATTCAATGGACCCTCTAATATTTTGTGGCTTCCGTAATTGTCAGGATACTCTTTTAAATCTGGAAGCATGAACAACTGATATCGAAATGTATATCGTTATCAATCAATATAAAAAATAATAATCAAGATTGCATGTCTGACATCTCTCTCACCCCTAACTGATTGTACTTATTTGACTTGATAACATTGTAAAATAAACTGATAAACAAGTATGGAAATTGTGCATGGATTTTAACTGTATAAAAGACAATCAAAATGCATAAAGGTTGAAAATCTCTACATTTTGCTAACATTCATTTCATGCTATAGAGTGTTTTACATTCAGTCTCCTCCTGTAGCACAAGGGAATATGCTATTTAAATGTATGGAGACTGAAATACAGAAATTAAAACATTGCTGTTGATAACACTAGTAAATAAACTTTTTATATAGATTACTGGGTTAATAAGAATGACAGAGCATATAACTTAAATAGTAATTTCATAAATCTCAAAGAACTGTGGTAAAGCTTGATGGCAGAATGTTTTGGTTTCTTTTCTGGAATTGTTTGATTGACAAATTAGAAACAGGTGTACCAACTAGCCAAATACAAACTGGTCCACATTAGCATCGTGTTTGAACAAAAACATGTCTGTGTTATAAACCGTAATTGTTATTCTGCGCTTTTGATGCAATTTAATTAAAATCTGTCGCTTTTACATTGTAGATAATGCCAAAGCAGCTTTTACTGGTCATCAACTGAGACAATCAATCTCCATTCCTAAATGAAACCTGAAGCAAGCAACTGAGCATTGTAACTTTTAAATCACGCAATGTTGTGTGACCTTTAACGCCAATGAAAGTTAATGCAGGCGTTACCACGAACTAATAAATCCCTAATATAAAACCTCGGACATACAGCAGTATCAGTTCGTGCTTGATCAATACTTGGTTGTCCGCCAGAAACTTTATGACTGACAACCGCACCTTGCTCAAAAGATCCCCCTGCTCTCATCCAAATGCGCTACCAAACAAACCGATATAATAGAGGTGCGTGTGGATGCGTGACTCTCATATTACCGAAGGTCTTCACAAATCAATCTGTCCTGCACACATGAACACACAGTAGTGTGAACTACTAACCTCTCGTCGTGGAGTTGGTGGACAATGAGGAACCTGCCATCGGCCCACCGGTGTGACACAGATGCAGTCGGACACAGGCTGAAGTGTCCACAGATGCGTGAGCTTCGAGCTGTGCTTTTACATTCGCGGTCACTGCTGCTGTTTCCTCATTCTTATCACTGCTCGAGGAGGAGCATCCCACTCTTAAAGTTGTAATGCACTACACGGCCCGAAGCAACTTACTCGGACTCAGAAGTAAAGAAAAACACAATATCCCAATGACGAAAAGCTTTTAAGAAGGTACTTCGCAATATAAAATTGTCTTGTAATGTGCATATGGGGTGGTTTGCAAGAAAGCAAATGCTGCGATTCCAGTCCTGTAGGGGGCAGAAACTTCTGTTTACAAGCAGCAGGACACAAATGAAGAGCAAACCCCGGAAAAGGTCTAACTTACACGTCATCCGCGTGGTGTTTGTTTTGGGTTTTCTCATCCTTGTTTGAATAAATTGGCCTTATGCTGGAGTGTATAAGTACTTTGTTTGGTTGTAAAGTTGACGCAAAACAAAAAAAAAAACGTTGTTATTAAACTGCGTGTTATGATAAGGGCAAAACATTGTTTGTAGTTTTTCCCTTATTTAAAGCAACAACAAATGTTTAATCTTTTATTAGGCCAGAGTAATACAATAAGCAAAAGATCATTTCATGTAATATAATCATCTGGACCTACATAAAACATTAAAATAAACATTTTAGATTGATTTAAAATAGTAAAAGTTTTCTATGAAATCGTGCACCATTAGAGAAAATATATGTTTGTTTGCAGATGTGATTTTGACTTCCGCCTCTTATTTTAGAACTTGCTAAACATATATAATTATTCATTTAAATCAGTGTAAACCACAGGTCACATCCAAATAAGTAATTATAATATTTCCCGGCTGTTACGTACCTGTAACAATACCATATTTAAAATTCCCATCCATTAACATGCCTTTACTTAGTTCTTTTTCAAATTCCTGCAATAAATGTGTTATAAACACAGCGCATACAATTACCAAATACCAAGAAAAAAAAAACGTTCTATATTTTACAAATAATTTTTACAAAAGACGTCCCTAAAACCTTCGCAAGTTGTAAATTAAAAAAAGTTGTCAAAACACTATTTCAGGGTTTCTGCAGGTTTCACATAATTTTGATTTAATCTTAAGACCAAATTTTAGACTCATAAAGGGCTGCTGCACACTAAGGAATTTTTCAAATGGCCCAAATGGAAAAGATTGAAATTTGCCCCATCAAAAAATGTAATTTAATATATTTAATAAAACAATAATGCATTAAGAATAAAAAAGTAAAATATTTTTTTATTTTGTGTAAAAACAAGCAAGCTCTACTTGTATCCAGACACCTTTTTCCCGAACAAACGTTCTTTAAAATAAAAATTAAAAATAAACAAATGTTTTAAAGGTTTTTAAAAACAACAATACAACAATCTGTCCAGGTCGTTGTCCTCAGCAGTAAACGCATCGGGCACTTTTAAACAAATGTTATTGTAGAGAAAATAATTAAACCATTATTGTTTATAGAGTAAAAATTACCTTTTTAAACAAAAAGTGAAAAGTTTTTTGAGATTGATAGTCGATCATATGGGAGATGCAGTGGCGCAGTAGGTAGTACTGTTGCCTCACAGCATGGTCGCTGGTTCGAGCCTCGGCTGGGTCAGTTGGCGTTTCTGTGTGGAATTTGCATGTTCTCCCTGTGTTCGCATGGGTTTCCTTCGGGTGGTCCGGTTTTCCCCACAGTCCAAAGACATGCTATACAGGTGAATTGGGTAGGCTAAATTGTCCGTAATGTATGAGTGCGAATAAGTGTGTGTGAATGTTTCCCAGAGATGGGTTGTGGTTGGAAGGGCATTCGTTGTGTAAAAATGTGCTGGAAAAGTTGGCGGTTCATTCCGCTGTAGCGACCCCAGAATAAAAAGGGACTAAGCCGAAAAGAAAATTAATGAATGAATGTTGATCGTATGGGTGTTAATGGCCAGATTGGGTAGCAATACATGAACAAAGGCTAATTAAGATGATTTAAGACCTACAATACATGATTTCAGTAAATGTAAGACTTTTAAGACCTAAAATTTATATTTCGAGATTAAAGGCTTTTTAGGACCCCGCGGACACCCTGTATTTGTAAGTGTAAAGCAAATGCTCCCCACCCAATGCTAATCAATGTTGACACAATGTTTTCACATTAAACAAACTGTTTAATCTGTATTGTCATTAAAACGCTTTATTTCTTCATGAGCCCACACCCACATTCCCCACAAAAATATTGTTTGCATATAACAACATGTTTTTGTTTTTTTTGTTTAAAAAAATGCAAAGAGTTTCCTCAGAAAATGTTTTATTAATCCATACATATTTAGTACTTATTCAAATGTCCTCGTTGGGCCACCCATGATAAATTTACATTACCAGCTAATGCATACTTATTTCATTTCAGAAACCCTGTCAGCAAAGAGTAGACTGCACTTAAGTACACTTGATCACTTTTTTCATTTAAATGAACATTACAATAGATGACAGAACACTTATGTTATCTTTTTTTTTTGTAACACCCAACTGTTCTACTAGTTCCAAATTATAAGCATTTTCCACCCATCATAAGCCACATGATGTTCATTTGTGGCTCAGCATAAATTATCACACACTACTGAGGCTCCGGGGATGTATTTGTGAGGGTAAAGCTCCTTGTGTCAAATCACCTTCTATAGTTTCAGGTAGACTGAAATCATGGCTGGAGAATTCAGTTCAGTTTTCATATGTGTATGTGTGTGCATATATATATATATATATATATATATATATATATATATATATATATATATATATATATATATATATATATATATATATATATATATATATATATATAAAACTGCACAAAGAAACAATTTCCCCATACATTCATCTGGCAATACTGATCAGTCCTTCTGAAGTATCTCTTTAATCATCATCTTTTCCTCCAGTTTTGCTCAGCTATATTAAAAGAAAAAAGACCGATGAAAATATCAAAAGATCACATGTATTACAGTTTAATTTTCACCTTAGATCATAAATCTATTTTAAGTATTAAAAGTTTTGATTTCAAACATTTGAATGTTAAGCTTTACATAATGGTTGTAGTAATAATTATTGTTTTAATGATATGATCACATGAAAAAGAAGAGCTGTTTCAAATGAAACTTAAAATTAAAGGGATAGGTCACCTCAAAATTTAAATTTACTCACCATTTACTCTCCCTTTGCTCTGTCGTCTGTTAAACACAAAATAAGATTTTTTGAAAAAAATGTTAGAAACCTGTAACCATTGTTTTCCATAGTAGAAAAAACAAATGGTTACGGGTGTCCAGGTTTTTTATTTTTTATTTTTTCGAAATAACTTATTTTGTGTTGAACAGAAAAAAGACATTCAAACAGGTTTGTGACAAGTGAAAGGTGAGTAAATGATGACAGAATTTACATTTTCATATTTTTAATTCAAAATATATCTTGAAAGAAATTAGCATCTGCACTTTTCCTAGAATGCTAGACAAAAGTTTTTTAAGTTACTTTTAACCAACTGCTTCCAAAGAGAATTGTCGTGGATCAATACAGTTCAACAGAGGTTTGAACTACTTTCAAACACTTATCTATTGTAAACATTTTTACTGTATTATTATTTATTAATTAAGACATTTAAATCACCTGTTCAAGTGGATTTTTTATTAAAAATAAATATTTAATGGTTTAATATTAAGACAAATCATTCCAAATGTTTGGCATACATTTAGACTCACAATCAGAAATCCAGTTGAAGTCAGAATTATTAGCCCCTCTTTAAATTTAGTTTCTTTTTTGAATATTTTCCAAATGAAGTTTAAAAGAGCAAGGACATTTTCACAATATGTCTGTTAATATTTTTTTTTCTTCTGGAGAAAGTCTTATTTGTTTTATTTCAGATAGAATAAAAGCGGTTTTAAATTTTTTAAAAACAATTTTAAGGTCAAAATGTTTAGCCCCTTTAAGCTATATTTGTTTCGATAGTCTACAAAACAAACCATCGTTATACAATAACCTGCATAATTACCCTAACCTGCCTAGTTAACCCACTTAACCTAGTTAAGCATTTAAATGTCACTTTAAGCTGTATAGAAGTGTCTTGAAAAATATCTAGTCAAATAATGTGTATTATATTGTTATTAGAAATTAGTTATTAAAACTATTATGTTTAGAAATGTGTTGAAAAAATCTTCTCTCCGTTAAACAGAAAATTGGGGGGGAAAAACAAGGCTGCTAATAATTCTGACTTCAACTGCACTTTTTGAGGCCACTGTATGTTTATTTTTTTTAAATATAAATAAATGACTTACATGCTGTTTGATGGATGTGAAATGTAGCAGTGTGTGGGAATCCATGTGAAAGAGAAAAAAATACAAGTTATAAAACATTTTATTTTTGAATTTAATAATGCCTTTTCATAGTAAAATCTTCTCGTGTTACCCTACCTTAATAACATCCACCCAGTTCCATCCTCTTGGCAGTTCACCCTTATTATCTATTCATTGCAAACAACAGTTTCACATCAATGTGCATTAAAACAAAGAAGCCAGAATTCTTTTGTTTCATGGCTAACAATATACTGACCTGTTCTTCCAATCAGTTTCCTCTTCTGTGCTTTAGTTAGTTGCTCTTTCTTCTCCTTCTTCTTACTGACAGAGGTGGAATTATTCATAACATCGCTGCTGGATATCAAGGTCTGAGAGACAATACAGTTATTACATTACTTACAGGAGCTGTGATAAAAAATAAGAAAATATAAATGCAACAAGGCAGTATCCATAGCTACAAGAGAGCTCCAGCAGTTAAACCATGCGATTTGATTGTTGAAAGATATATAGAGTCAGTGACAGCAGAGAAAGCACTGTTCAAGTGATTGCATACTGTATTCAGAGTGGCATATATTCATATCACACTTCAGGGTCAGTCACAACAGAGAAAGTACCATTCAAGTGATTGCAAAATATATTCAAAGTGACATATTTTCATATCAAATATATTGGTAACACTTCATTTTGATGGTCCATTCGAGTATTAATAGACTGTCTGCATAATATCTGCTGATACTGCTTCTTCAACAGACATTTAACTGACCATAAGGAACTTGTACATGTCAACTTACACTAACCCTAACCCCAACCTAACAGTCTACTTATAATCTAATGAGAATTAGTTGGATTGTAGATGCAATGTAACTTAAAATCAACAAACCATCAAAATAAAGTGTGACCTATATATCATATAAAACTTAATGTATACAAACCACAGCAGACGTCACAGGCTGGTGGTTTTCCATAAGTGTTTCCTTGCTCTCTTTGGCCCACTCAAAAAGTGTGTACATCATGGCAGTGCCCAGGTTGGCTTCCACCTGTTCACTCATCTTTGAAAGAATGTACTGCTTTGTCTGTGCAGATCTTAAAATAAAAAAAAAATAAAAAAATAAAAAGATGTGCACGTTTAATCCTGTTAAACCTAATATCCTAAACCAAATTTTAATGTACAAATATATAGTACACAAATTAATTAAAAACTTTTGTTCAAATGTAAATAAAAGCTAAGAAATATATATTTTCCCACAATGACGCCTCTTGTCCACTGCCTTATTATCTTTTGGGGGAAGCCTGTCATTTCAGGGTCAAAATAAATAAATAAATAATTGCTGATTGAATAATTATTACTGAATGCAATATTATCACATTATGATGATCAAAAGTGACAAATACTTAGTCACACCTCATAATAAGACTCCAACTGCTAATGTTAATGTTTTTTTTTTTTTTGGTTTGTTTGTTTAATGAGAAGAAACATGACGAATACTAGTGCAGTATTTAATAATCATAGCTCAACATTTAATAATGCATTATTAAATCCCAAAGTGGTGCTTGTTAATAATAGTTAATGCACTGTGAGTTAACAAGAACTAACAATTAATGACTTCATTTACATTAACTAACATTAACAAAGATGAATATTGTAAAAAATGTGTAACAAAGTTAATTCATCTTTTTTTTTTTACTGCATTTATTCACTTTATGGAATATTTGAACATTCCAGGTCATGCTATTCTCAGATAATGACCAGTAAAAAAAAATTACGGCTATTATGGCTAAATGTACATTATCCCTTATTGTAAAGTGTTACTAAATAATTTTTACAATATTGCAAAATGGTCCAATTCTAATAAATTGTGTTGTTTATAAATTTGCATATTACATATTAGAATGATTTATGATAGATCACGTGACACTGAATACTGGAGTAATAAATAATAATTAATCATTTAATAATAAATGATGCTGAAAAATCAGCTTTGCTCTCACTGAGATTACAATTACAGACAATTAAATTTAGTAATAATATTTGAAGCAATACTGTTTGACTGTATTTTTGGATCAAATAACTGAAACTTTTTTGTGTTGTGTGTAAGAGACTTTAACATTTAAATATCTTGCAATACCACAAAATAAATTTAAAATTTAAAGTTTGTGAATATTGAACCGTAAACGGCTCAGCTAAGAAAAAGCAAAAACAAACAGATTCTAAACAACTTACAGTCTGTTGTTAAAAAAAGTATCTAATGATATGCATGGTGCACTTTCAGGATAGTTTTCTGGCCAAGACACTTCAAGTAGGAAGGATTTGGAATCATCAAGATCTCCTACCTGCAAAAAAAAAAATAAATAAATAAATAACAAATAATGATTTTTATATTCATTCATTTTGCTGAAGTTTTTTTTTTTTTAGCAAAATTGAGGAAAGTGATTCATCATAAAGAGGTAAATAATCAAAACACAAGCTATAATAGATTGCAATTTTATTCCATTTCAAAATGAAATTCTATAGTACATGAATATTGTAATCCCTTATATCATAAGTTTTACCATCTCATACCATTGCCATATTTTTGTAACATTGTTATTGCCCTAAACAAATCTCCTACTGTATTTAATAATTAATATGTTATTTCAAGTCGGAATGACCACTGTAAAGTTAAATACATTGAAATGTTCCCAATAAAATGAAATTAAATAAACCCGCTGCTAGTAGCATTTCTAATAAGTACTAAAATATAGCAAACATGAAGTAGGCTAGTATTTACTGAATAAGTGCAAGTAGCTAATCAATAGCCACTAGCATCTAATGAATAAATAAATACTAGTATACAGGGTAATTAAAAAAGAATACCACAACTTTAAAAATCAAAAACTCTGCAAAGAAGAAATGTAGAGCTAAGCTCTTTGTGTTTTTGATTTAAGGAAGCTCCGAAGTTTTGAAAAACTCGAAGTATTCTTCTCATTGATTAATTACCCAAGGTTCCATAATGTTTCTTTGATTAAATACAGATTTTCAAGGTTGTAGTATTTTTTAATCATCCTATATATTAAATAAACTACACTTCATTTAAAAAAAGTGTAAGAGTACATAATAAATACTATCTATAAATTAGACTAAGTACTAGTTAGCATTAACTATTAAGAAATTGAATGTAAAAACATATTATATATACACAATGTATAACTAGATGTAGTCAAAATTGCAATGCAGACTACACAAGACTACTATAAGTCATATCTTAGTGACAGATGAAACATTTGTAGAGTCTAGTGAATAAGTACAATTAAATAATTAACAGGTACTATTTAACCAATAAGTACTGGTATAACATGAACCAGCCTAGTATTTGTTGAAGAAATATTAGTTAAATAGATCATAATACTATTATCTAATATTAGGAACTACAATAAACATTATTATTCACAATAAATACCTAAAAAAAAAAAAGGTGGAGAGCAATTTCAGCGTTATGGATGTGACGTTTGCAGTAAAAACTCCAAACATAAATTCAAAAAGAAAAAGAAGATTTCCTAAAAAGAAATCATGATAACCAAAAGAGTAGAACTTGGTTCTCTATAGAATAAAAATTATTGATTTTATTATATTTAATATTTTTGCCTTTATGAGGAAAAAAAGTGTCAATATGGATGTGACACCTCTTTTATTATGGATGTGACCGATGTGAAACTGCCACTTGTGGGACTTTGGGATATCAAATACAATTGTTTGAAAACATTGACAGACACATTTTTTGGTGTATTTCTAAAGTACTTTAAAATACTTCCTTACAGAAAAAAACTAAGAAACATTTTCGGTACTTATTTTCCGTACTAATTTCATGGCAAGGTTGATGTTTGCATGGATTTGCTCTAGTCATAATTTAAATACAGAGATTAGTCAAAAATGAATAGTTTATATCTTAATTATAGATCAAACATTTGTAGTATCTAGTGAATAAGTAGTAGTAAACTAGCAAAAGGTATTTTACTGTGGTTAAGCTGGTTTTATATTCACACATTCATTAGGTGACAACTTGTGGCATGCTCTCTGTATTGTTTATTACACTACTTTGAATATGGGGTCTGAAATCACGTGCAATTATGACTTCAAAACAACATTAGCACTATTTATTAGACTGTGAACAATGTTGTACTTTGATGGTTATTGGCTGCAAATATGATTTAACTATTTAGAAATTCCAAAGAATACTTTTTTTGCAATTGTATTATTACAGAGAAAGACTGAATATAAAACCAACTTTACCTCAATCTGGTATCTTACCTAACGTTTAAGTACTACTATAAACTAGCCTAGTATTTCATGAAGAAATGTTAAAATATTTTAAAAGAATCACTTCTACTTAATGAAAGATTTACTAGTATCTAGCAAGTAAGGACTAGAAGCATGAAAATAGATACATTTTAACAGATTAAATGTAAAAAATAGGAATTAGTAAGTTGTTTTACCCTGAACTGAAAGGAAACAGGACTGAGCTCTTTAAAACAGTCATCTCCTTCATAGATAGAGCGCAAAGCTTCCAGCTCCATCTGCACACAAACAATTCAGTCAACACAACCTGGTATTACTATGTTTTGGACATGGTATATATTTAACGAAATACCACATAAAATCAGTAATACAAACATTGGCCTTTTTGTTGTTAAAAATGTTATATTTTATTAGGCTAGGCGTGTTTATAAACATGATGTTAATAAGATTTATGACACAGCCTTCATAAAACCTCCACATCTTTAAGTTCATGTGCGTTAGCTTTAGCTGTATCAGTCTTACCTCCTGGTCTTCATTGGCAGTCATGTTCTTCGCCTTTCCAGCACTTTAAACCTGTCATAAACAGCGCTGCTGTGTTAGCGGACTTTAGCCAAAATAACGTTCAAGTACATATAAAGACCAACATGTTTAATGAATCCTAAATGTAATTAAGAAATTGCTTTAAGGGAGTCACCACAACATTAAAACAGAGAAATGTGTGATCTCAGACAGTACAGTAACACTATTGCCGCCTGCAGGTTTGGAGTGCAGAAATTCACCGACCTTGCAACTTCTCTTAATGTACTCTAGATGGCGGCAAAACATTAGGCTACCTGTATGGCTTTACATTGTGACAAAATTAATCCATTAAAAGTTTGAAATTATTAATGATAGATTGAAATGAATAGAATTCATGAATATAGGCTTCAAATAAATTGTCATTTGTAAATTTTGATTAACTTAAGTATGTTTCTGTCACCAACCCAAAACAAATACACTGTAAAAAAAAAGTAATCAATCAGTGGAGTTATCTCAATAGTAAGTTAATTCTACTCATTTGAGTTTTAAACTCAGTGATGAATACTCTATAAAGTGATTATTCGCTTAAAGCAATTAAACCAATTGACTTAAAAGAAACAAGTTGACTTCACAAATATAATGTAAGTAAACCCTTGTAATTTCGAACTGTTAAGCTGACTTATTTTTTATAATTATGCTTACTGTACTCACTTTTTTAAAGTCAACTAATCCTTATTTACAGTGTCAGACTATTTTAACATTTCTGTTTTCAAATAATTACTGTAATTATTATAATAATACATATTTGGCACTTAATTTAGTCTATAAAATCAACAATTATAGCCTCCATTGAATTTAGAAGACACACTGGAGTCTGGAAGAGCACATTTATTTTAATTACTTTCATTTTGTTGGATACAGAAAAGCTGAAATATATGTATATAATAAAGGTGTATTTAAAAAAGTGATTTGTTTACTTTTATTTTAAAAAGAGAGATCACAATTTGCATATGAAATTAAGTCAACTTAACAGTTCCAAGTTACAATAGGTTTACTTACATTATTTTTGTAAAGTCAACTTGCTTTTTTTAAGGGAATTGGTTTACTCGCTTTAAGTAACTGATCTCTTATTACAATGAAGGTAATTAGTTAATTAAATACCTCATTACTACAACTTAAACGGAGTAAGTTCACAGTACTCATATATATGTATATATATATATATATATATATATATATATATATATATATATATATATATATATATATATATATATATATATATATATATATTTTTTTTTTTTTTTTTTTTTTTTTTTTTTTTTCAAACGGTTTAAGTTGCCTTTGGGTTATTGAGTACTCAGCTGGTTTGAGTTCTCTTCATTTATTGGTTTTTATTGTGCTCAAATTGCTTCTTTTATTCAAATGGATTTAGTTCACAGTACTCGTTGTTTTTGAACTTAAATGGTTTGTTGCAATCAGTTTCCTCAAATGGTTTGAGTTACTGTAACTTATTGGGTTTTACAGTGTAGATATATTTTTCAACCCTCTACATCCTCTAAGTGGGCAAAATCAGATTATTCAGAATTATTTTGTTGGAGTTGTCTATATATTTTTTTTTCTTTAAAGAAAACATCAGAATTGAGAAATGTGTTTTGGATTGTTTGTTTTTGTTTTGTTGCTTTCACCGTCAAATGTAAATTATTTTATAACTAATATTGTTTCAAACAAACATCGTTTTTTTTTACAGTGCACCATAATTAAAAAATGTAGAAAAATGTGTCTGTGTCGGTGTTTTAGGTTTTTGATTTTACATTAGGCTATTTTATCCACCTGGTTTCTCTCGAGGATTTTTTTTATTTATTTATTTTTGCTTCACTTTTGTCTATTAGTGAAGTTCGTTCCTCACCACTGTCACCACTGGCTTGCTTGGTTTGGTTTGGTTTGGTTTGTGAAGCTGCGCATTGATAAATTTGCTCTTCAGTGTTTAGATTTTCATCAGTGAAAACTTATCCACACTGAACCGAACTGAATTGAACTTCAACTCTGAAAACTGGACTGACAGTTTCAATTTACTAGAACTTCTATGTTTAGCTGCTTTGACACAATCTACGTTTTAAAAGCGCTATAGAAATACAGAGGAATTGACTTGAATTGAATGATAGAAGTCAATAATAAACAAAAAAGTCATACAGGTTTTCAACAACATGGGGGTATAATAAATTATACCAATAATAAATTATTAGAAAACTTAGAGCATATTTAATTCATAAAGGTTACGTTATGCATTATTTTGAAGCTCATCATTTCCCATTTGCATTCTAATTAATGAGGCTTCACGACTTTCGTAATCTTATCAGAACAAAAGAAAATCATTTTACACCTTTTTCGTAATAACTCACATTTACATAGTAATCACAAAACAGCATGACTCACTCAGGCTGTCCAGGACCTTGATAGCAACATGAATGTTGATTATTTGCGCTCATTTACATGTGGAACTCCTCTGGTTCACAGGTCAACAAGACGCTTTCAATGAGTTATGATTAAAGCCCTCTCTGATCAATGAACAAACCCACCTGGCTTTTAAGGCGCAGCAGTGAGTTGGGGCCAGAAGATTATATCCTAGCTCACATCTGACAGCACAGTAGCCAAATTACCCGTTGAGAAGATTTACTGTTCTAATTTCAGTTCTATTTCACCAGACCTCTACAAGCTCTTCCATTAAACAAACCATCCCAAAATAAGTTTACAAAAGACACAACTCAGGGTCAGGAATAAATCATTTATCATCTTTGTGCAAATGCAATATTTATCATAGGGCTAAGTTATCTTGCTCAGTGGCATGAACTCAGGAGAGGGAAAATTGCTCATAGTTGTCAGTGATCGTAGTCCAGTCAGCACATTTGCATACTACATAACAATAATATACACTTTTACAGGGGAAAAAGTCACCCTTTCAAAAGATACCAAATGTTAGATCAAAAATAGAAATTGTAATGTCTTGGTCTTTTTACACTCAAAAATAAGTTTGCTGCTTGTTCAAGCTACCTATTTAAAATGAGCTAAAAAAAAAAAAAACATTTATTGAGATTTTTTTTTTTTTAGAACAACTTCATCGGTTTATGTTTAAATCACTAATAGGGCACCTATGATGAAAATCATCTGTTTGGACAGAACTGTGTGTAGGTATTGTTTGTCCTACTGTGTGTAGGTATTGTTTGTCATACTGAAGTGATACCCAGCAGGCACACAACATCATAAGACATCATTATTAGGTATGGTTAGATTATTAAGGTTGGGACATCAGGTGACCAAAATATAATGTCTAGCCAGGGTCTAAAGACAACGTTATTTTGACGTCCAATAATGACATGAAATTACATTGATATTTGGTTGGTTTCAGGATGTGTGTGAGGGGTCTGGATGCAGATCTGGTGCAGTGCAATCTGAGCTGCATCCAATGCTTTTTAATGCACTCACCTAAACGCACCCCTAACCCTTCCTGTCACAGTGACATCACTCACTCCATTAAGTGCATTGTGTCTGACATTGCATCGCTGAGCGATGCAATCTCAGCTTGCATCATAAAGGCTGCATCCATATACTATTGGGTTGTGTTGGAAAGTGACTAAATCCAATGTCTGATAGACGTCATAGTGGTATGTTAGTGGTATATAGTTGATTTATTTTAGGTTGGACGTTGGACATTGATGTCAGCTGGACGTTGGGTTCTGACGTCAACCCGATTTTCATTTCCAAACAAAATTCCATGTCCCCACAACATTGGAGTACGCTGGAGTGCAATATCAATATGACATCATGATGTTGATGTTCTGCAGGGTATAAGCACAAAAAAAGTGCCTTTTTAAAAATTTCCTGTCGTTAAAATAGGACCCAAATTCTAGTGATTTTAAGGCAAACCAGATTGTGACGTAGGAGTGCAGTTTTCCCTGGCCACCGAATAGACTGACAGGTCTTCATGATAACAAGTATACACATGTCCACAGAACATTTTTTTTTGTAAAGAAACTGGGATTAAAAAAGATGTTACCACTCTCTGTGATCAGCTGCATTTCAAAATGCTGTTTTATAAGTTTAAAATGGGTGGTTCATTCCGCTGTGGTGACCCCAGATCAATAAAGGGAGTGTGTGTGTGTGTGTGTGTGTGTGTGTGTGTGTGTGTGTGTGTGTGTGTGTGTGTGTGTGTGTGTGTGTGTGTGTGTGTGTGTGTGAGAGAGAAAGAGTCTACTGCAAATTGCAGTTGTGTGTGACTCATCATTTCAGAAAGGCTTGAATAAACTCCACCACAAATACATAAAATTTACTTACTTCGTAGTTTTGACTAATAAGCTGTAATTCAGCTTCATCTGAGTCTGTCTCTGTCACTGACTGCTAGGGTGTCAAAATTAATTGTTTTTTCAGTGCACCGTGATGCAGATGGGGACAATTAGATATCGGTTCAGCAATAGATTATAACTGTTTATTACGTACTGACGTCATTTATCTCCTATGTGCAATGTTGCAGTGGAATACTATGGCGAAGGAGGAGAGGGTGACTAAATAAAACACTCCTACTACTTAAAAGGTAGATAATTAATTGGGTAGCACATTCGCCTCACAGCAAGAAGGTTGTTGGGTCGCTGGTTAGAGCCTCGGCTCAGTTGGCATTTCTGTGTGGAGTTTGCATGTTCTCCCTGCATTCGCGTGGGTTTCCTCTGGGTGCTCCTGTTTTCCCCACAGTCCAAAGACACACAGTACAGGTGAATTGGGTATACTAAATCGTCCGTAGTGTATGAGTGTGTGTGTGTGTGAATGAGTGTGTGTGGATGTTTCCCAGAGATGGCTTGCGACTGGAAGGTCATCTGCTGCGTAAAAACTTGATGGATAAGTTAGGAGTTCATTCCGCTGTGGCGACCCCGGATTAATAAAGGGACTAAGCCGACAAGAAAATTAATAAATTAATTATCCCTCTATTTCACTACTAGGGAGAGATGCTGTAAAAAATCATCTCTGCTTTTCTCTCTCATACATACACTTTGAACATATGACCCACTGGCCTGTTTGAGAGTTAACTTTTCTCTCCTCTTGGCTGTTAAAGCAATAATTGTGGATCCAGACACGAAGACAATGACCAATCATAGGGGTGTAAACCAGCGCTCAAAAGGGAAGTGAGGTAATACTTACATTAGTTTATTTGCTTTAAATGCTTGTGTTATCTTCTGGCATGTA